CGCGGCCGCCTCTGTGCTGCGAGCGGCTCGCTAAACCGGGTCAGCCAGGAGGGGGCCTGCGTAGATTCCCGCGGGGTCGGGCGCCCTGGCGCGCGACCGTCTGCGTGGGCCCCCGTCGCCGGACACCCGAGGCTTTGCGCGGACATTTAGTCTGGTCATCTTGCATCATCTGCCTTGCTGGCCTCAGGAATACTGCACGAAATGACTAAGCAAGGTGCACCTCAGTCCTTGCAGTTCCACGCGTTCCAATAATCTCCCAGTGTCTGTGCAGTCTTTGCACTTCATGCCCGACTCTCTTTCGACTTGGCAGACGTTGGTCACGAAGCGCGTCGACGTCTTTATGATCGGCTCTTCTCAAGAACCGATTGCATCATCCCGAAGAGGTACGCGTCGCCTTCATGCGCGAGAGCTTCGCAAAGTCTTCGTCTTCTTCAAAGATGGGGACGGCGCGCCACTTCGACGCGTCGGCAGGGCGCTCAAGCAGAAGGCATGACCCACCTGCGTTTTGTGTTTCGCCAAATTGCGAGCAACATCGGAACGCTTCAGGCCGCTATCTAGAACTATGCGATCTGGCCTCCCGATCTTTCTAGCGTCGAAGGGCGGCAACCTGCTGAGGGCAGAGCGCGCGGGACTGACTGCCAACAGGAGTGCAGACTTTCGTATATAATATCATGTTTAGCCTTCTTCCTCGGGGCTTGTTGTCAGAATCCCGAGGATTTCTCCACGTTTATCGCGCGCGGCTAGATCAATGGCCACCCCGGGCGCCGGCCCCGCGTTGTCGGCCGCGCCGACGGCCCTGATTGGGGCGTAGAACGCTTCAGGTGCGTGCGACAGGACTTATTCTTAACCCTTTGTTCCCATATCGCCTCGCTTGGCCCGCCGCTTCATTGACCTCCGCGGGCATATGCGTCTCCTGATTAACACTCTAACTTGCGTGGCTCTCGCAGATGCCCGCGAGCTGGAGGCCATGCTTGACTTCGCCCAGTGTTTCGTCGTTTGGATATTGCGCGGTTGCTGCGTCATCAAATAAACCCTCGAGATCAATTTCTCCGCCGATGCCCCCTTGTTTCCGCGGAACTCCTGGCGTCGTTGATGATGCGGCGCCAGGGGTCGGACGGATTCCCTCATCTGTCGCCTCGTCCTCCTCCAAGTCGAACTCGGCTCATCCCGCCCACTCCTCTCCGTGATCTTGCTCTCCAGAATTCTCCTCCGTCGCAAGTATCTCTGACGTCTCCACATTCTTCATGTATGGCATGGCGCTCGCGCAGCGTCGCGAAACTTCGCGCTGCGCCCTCTGCAACTCGCCGCTGACATGCGTCGGGAAAGCGCCGCCTGATCCCGGGAGCTCTGCGCTGCTCGATGGCTATCCGTCTCGCAGGCCCACGCGTCGATGAGCTTGGGGGCTGTGTCCGACGTCGGGCGCGAGGCCTGTCTCCTCGGCTGGTTGCCTCCTGCCCAATATGGGGTGAGGCTGACCTCTCTTGGACAAATGGGCCATCTTGTTGCTTCGAAAAGACGACGGCCCCAGCGCGGAACTCGCGTGTGCCGCGTGAACCGCGTCTCCGCTGTCAATGGTTTTGCGCCCGCGCCGTCTGGGAGTGGGCCCCGCGGCAAAGTGCTCGGCGCTCTTCGCCGCTACTCCTCGGGCCGCGCTCGCCCCGGCGCCGGCGCTGTCGGCGCGATAACTCGCTGACCTCGTGTCCTGCGCTGGCGGGATCCGGCTGCCAGGGCAACATAATCGCATTCGCGGCCGCCTCGATGTTCCACCCCCCGCATTCGCCCCCAGTCCTCGTGGATTCCCGCGGCTTGATCGCCTCCTGCGGCGCGCCATTGGCGAGCTCTGGGCCAACCTCGTCGAGTCGCAGGAATGCGCCACTTCCCAGTCTACGTTCGAGCTGTTCCCTGGCCCTCGCGCCTTGAATTTCGCTGCAAATGACGCGCCCAAAAATTTCGGCGGCGGTTTGCTCGACTCCACCCCCCTGCATCTCTCGCGCGCGGCCCCCCCGCCAGCCCCGATAGCCGGCGCGCGCAATTCAGGGGGCGCATGTGACACTAAGCATGGAATCGAAGCGTGGTTCTCCCTCATCTCTGCCAAGGATGCGCTGCCCAGCGCGCTTTTCGTCGTTCTGATCTGCCCTTGCACAGGCCTGGCGGCTGATTCAACTGCCCGGCAGGCTCGCGAGACATCGACTCCACTGCGTTCAGCCCCCCGCGTTCGAGGCGCAATTGCACTCGCGGCTTCCTCGAGAGGCGCCGCGGCGGCATGTCCAGCGCGTGAGATCGCATCGGAACCACTTTAGCCGAATGCCGATCTGATCCATTCTTGACCACTACTTCATTTTAGGTTAACTTGGTCTCCAAGCAGTGCATCGTGGAATCGCGCCCCCTCCGCGGTCTTCGCCACCTCATGTTTCTCTCCTTCTCGCCGCGCGCAGTCCGCGGAAACGACGGGCCCCCCCGGCGTCGGGGTCTCTTTGCCCATTGACGCGGCCCCCCTTCCGGCCACCCCCTCAATCGCAGTGGGAGCGCCAGCTGCGGTAAAGAAGATGCGCGGCGTCGCGAGAGTCCGCTACCTCTTAGCTTGGCCTATAGTCGACATTCGTAGTTCGGGGGTGACTCAGCTTCCCCGCGATCGATGCGCCCGCGCTGCCTTCCCAGGCCCCTGACCTCGCGCTCCCCGCCAGCGCCTGGATGTCGAACTGGAACGGGCCGCCTCTCTCGCGCACCGCCGTGCTAAATATAACAGCGTGGGCGCCCCTCCTCGTCGCGACCGAGCGCGCTTCGACTTCATGCTGCGATCGTCCCCTGAGCTCATCCCAGCGCTGTCTTAACATCTGCCACTTGAGTCGGCGTGCTACCCTGTTCTCCCGGCCCGCTATCCCCTATACTGATTAAGTGTCGCGTTTCTGATCACTGCCCCATCGGCGGCGCCGCAATGCCTCCTGCTCACGGGGCCTCCGTCGGGGCATCCGCGATGTGGATTTCAAAGCCGGGGGGTCCCACTGTGCTGTGCGCGCCCGAGTCTAGCGTGGCAGCCGCGATATCGGGTGGCCCTGGAGGTTCCGCGCAGGGACAGCGTCAACCTCATGACTGGCTCCAGTGGCTTCCACTAGCTAAACATCGGCACTGTTTTGCTGCCGATCCTTTCCTGCTTGCAGACTTCCACATATCCCGAATTGCCAGCCGGCGTTGCGTCCGCAGCCAGGGCTGCGCGCGCCTGACCCATGTTTCTGCGCCCGTCACGCCTTCTGGCACACATCGTTCCCATTATTCTCGCGGCGCTGCTGAGTGCCATCGTTGAACCCTGGCGGGTCCCTGGGCACGTCCACTCCGCAACGCCCTGGCATTGGCTGTCCCAGCCGTGGATGGTCAATTTCTGCCACGTCTCGGTATGCGGCTCAACTTCCATCGTTCGTTCCGCTGCACGCTGGGTTGCAACGTGTTCCTTCCGTCCACAGGTGTATCACTCCCGATGGCTTATGGGAACGGATCCCCCGTACACCGCCCCCCCTAGCCCCTTGCCATTGTACCCACCACCGCTGTTGCCATCCCCTGGCCCTTTCAGCTCGCGCGCGGCCCATGCGTCATCTACTTTCCTCTGTTTCCACATTTGCCCGCGCTGTTCTTTACTACTCCTATCTTCGTGCTGGCTGCAATGTGTCCTGAGAACGTATTGAGTTGCTGCGTGGCCTTATGTCCGCCACCGTGCTTATGTCCTCCTCCTGGTCTGACTTTTTCGGGCAAGCAACTTCCCGCGACCGGCTCCACTATCTTATTTGCATAATGCATGCTGGGAGTTTGCACATTCGTCTGGCCCCTTAGGTTTCAAGGTTTCAATTGCAAACTGGAAGGGCACGACTTCATCCTCAGCGGATGTGTTGCGTTTCGCGAAGTTCAGCCACGAGGAGCTCATGCTCTGGGTCATAAATCACTCTCTATAGTTCGCCTCGCTGGTGACCGTATGTCTGTTCATGAAGTATGTCATTATCTCCCGATTGGTTCCCAGCGCAACCCTCACATCACAGTAGTTCCTCCAAGATGCGCCGCTTTGCATAGTTCCCTGAATCTCGCTCGGTTCGGGTTGAAGTACGGATCGCGATCTTGAGGTGCGTTTGACTCAGGAAGCGGGCCCCCCTGGCTGTGCAGGAGCAGCTGCCGCTGCGGCTGCTGCCGCCATCACCGCTGCTCCGCTGCAAAATCCCCAGGAATATTTACACGAGAAAACGATGATGCTGCTGGTGCAGCGGGGAAGAGCGAAGCTGCGCTGATCAATAGTTGACCCAAAAGCGTCGGTAACGACATCCGCCAGACTGCAAACTATTAGCGCCCACGTCACCCAGTCGCAACGCTACCTTCTAACACGCGTTTCTCCTCTTCATAATCCTCCTCCCGCGTTTCCTCCTCATATTACTCCTCTTCCTTTTCTTCCTTCTCCTCCTCCACCTCCTCCTCGTCTTCCTCCTCCGCCTCCTCCTCCTCCTCCTCCTGCCCCCCCTCCCCTTCTCGTCCTCCGCCCCCCTTGTCCTTCTGTTTTGATTTCTATCCTGCCCCATCCTCTCCCCTTTCCTCTTCTCGGGGCACCGCGAGTTGAGAGGATGACCGCTCAAACATCGATCCCTGGACTTCTCCTGGGGTCCAGACGGAATAGTTGTCCGCACTGCGTCTAGCTGTGGCGGCGAGGGCCCCCCGAAGTCCAACAAACAACCACTGTGTCAACGGTTCCGCGTCGCTCCCCCTGACCACGGCCACCCCCAGGCTGGATTTCGGGCCATATCTCGGGCCTCCGCCGGCCAGTCGGGACGATCCGGGCACCCTCGGAGCGCCTTCGAAGAAGCGCAGCCGCTGGAGGGCACCCCGAGGCTGGAGAACCGCCGGGAACCCGCGGAATCACTCGACGACCTCGAACCGCGAACGACCCCGAACCTCGAACCTCGAAGCCACGGTGTTCTCAGCTGGCCCTCCCCTGGCCACCCCCTCGGCGGCAGAGGGAGGCGCCGCTCCTACGACCTCGCGGGCCCGCATCGCGAAGAGGTCGCCCGCGAGCCGTGCCTCCCTGCGGGCCGCGGCGTCCTCGCCGCCTGCGCGGCCGGCGGAGCCCGCAAGGCTGACGCGGTTCCAAGATGCATATACAAAACTGTCGGGCGAAGAGGCCACGGGGAGGAGGAAGAGGAGGAGGAGGAGGAGGAAGAGGAGGAGGCGGAGGAGGAGGAGGAGGAGGAGGAAGGGAGGGGGGAGGGGAGGGGGGAGGCGGAGGAGGAGGCGGAGGAGGAAGAGGATGGAGGGAGCAAAAGAGGAGGCGGAGGAGGAAGAGGAGGAAGAGGAAGAGGAAGACACCCGAAGTGGCCACGGGAAAACATTGGAGGAGCACGAGGAGGGCGGCGTGAAGCCGAGGGCGCTGGCCACGAAGAAGAGAGCGTGGCCTGCCGCGGACAGAGCTCGCAGGGCTGGAGCGGCACCGTGCTGCAGCAACTTGAGCTGCTGCCAGATGGGACGTCAAATCCGCCACCGTGCCTGCAGCCCGACATTTAGGAAGCAACGCCTGGGAGGTCATGGCAACAAAAACGGGTCAGCTGAATATAACTGTTCGTCGGGCTTCCAGTCCGCGGGGCAAATGGCTGCGACTCCAGCCGCTCGTGCTCCCGCTGAGGCATGTGCTGCTTGCCCTCTACCCTTCATCTCAGCCCGCCCAACCAATTATCCCGCTCACAGGAACCCTAAAACATCATATTCGAGCAAAGGAAATTGGACCCGACTAAGCAGCCATTCAGACAGATTAGGCCGGATTAAGCCAGAGACTTAGGCGGGTTCAGCGAGACTCGCACACTTAAGCGGGACCATGTCGGATCAGGCCAGCTTTCAACCACATATATTCCAGCAGCACCGATTCTGAATTGAAGCTCCCAGGATATGCATCTTTAGCTGCCGTTGGGAATGCGGGAAATCCGCCACCGCGCCTTCAGCACGCAGTGCAGTGCCCCAAGGCTCATGCAGTCCTGAAAGGTACAGAGCGTGCAAAGCTCTTAGAGGCCCAGACCCCTCAGATGTGTCGCGCGAGCCCTCTGAAAGCAGCCGGCCCACGGAGAACTTCTCCAAAGGCAAGGAGCCCCCAGACGGGCCGAGAGGGGCCCAAGAGGCCCCCAAGACCATACAAGAGGGTCCCGCGTCATCCAGGGATCGGCCGAAGATGCCCAAGATGGCCTCCAGACGAACCCAAGAGGCGCCCAAGACGCCACAAGACGGCTCCAAGAGGCCCCTCAAGAGGGCCCCGCGAGGCCCAAATCATTGATGTCATTTTTGTTCATGATCGACTTTAGCTCTCTCGCCATTTCTGGCGTTCGACGCTCTAAGGCGGCCCAAGAGAATGGGCCCCAAGAACCGCCTAAGGGAATCCCCCGAGGGGGCAGCATGTCGAGCCCTCCGCCCCAAGATTGCCCCCGAGACGGCCAAGAGAGCCCAAGATGGCCCCAAGATGTCTCCAAGACGGGCCCAGATGCCCCAAAGATGGCCTCGACATCGCCCAAAACGACCCGAGAGGCCTCCGCGATGGCCCACGAGGCCTCCCAGAGAACCTCCAGCAAGGCCCGAAGAGGCCCAAATCAGTGATCCCCCGAAGGTCTTTAAACAGATTTCGGCGCTTGCTCACGTTCGCCTCTGCGACGGCCCAAAACGGCCCCAGAGGCCACCAAGACGGCCCAAGAGCGCCCAAGAGGCCTTCGAGATGGCCCCCTGACGGCCCACGAAGCCCCACAGACCAACCGTGACTTTGCTCACGGCGCGAGCATAACCTGGGGAGCGAGCCCCTGCCGTCGCATGGGTGGCGCTGGCCACGGGAGGGCACGTACCAACCCACCAGCCAGGTGCGCACGACGTTGAGCAGGGGCCACCCCCACGCCGCAGCGGGCTCTCGACGCCCAAGCAAAAGCCCGGGCGCTAAGTACAGTAAGGTCGTCGCGGAGGGTGCGGCCCGAGGGTGCCACCAGCACGAGGAGGAGGAGGAGGAGGAGGAGGAGGAGGAGGAGGAGGAGGAGGAGGAGGAGGAGGAGGGAGGAGGTGGAGGAGAAGGAGCGGGGAGGAGCAGAAGAGGGAATGAGCAACGAAGAGGACGCGCCGTCGCGGCCATCGAGGCTCGGCCGGGGCCACGCCGCCCCGCAGCCACGGCGCGACGGACCCCCCCCTCGTGCTGTCTTCTGCTGCTGCACGAAGGGCCCGTGACGGACCTCGCTGAGACAAAAACCGACCGAACACGTCCCTGGGCCTGGAGGCCAGACGCGCACTCGCTTCCACGTTTTGGTCGGGCATGTCCTCCAACAGGCAGATGTTTCACGAGAAGCAAACAGTAGTCAAACAACACTGAAAAAAGGCAACGATAGTAGAACAATCGTCCCCATACTATCTCCTTGCGTTTCTTGGATATTCCTCCTGTTCGAGGGACATGCCCGACTTGCAATTCTACGCGGGAAGGCCAAAGACGCCTGGCATGTCACGGCGTGCTTCTGCGTGCGAAGCGGGGGCGTATCCGCAATCACCGCCTGGGGGCTCGATCCTCGGCACCTCGGCAGGTGGTGGATCAGGATCTACTTGGCCCTCCCCGGGCCTGACTGTCTGTGTGTGCCTACGTTTCTGCAACACTGGGTGGATCAATCGGTTGGTGGCGATCGAATCTTCTACGACCAGTCACGACGCTCGGCGGATATCCATATCCACCTCCTGCCAAGGTGCCGGAGATCGATCTTCCAGGCGGTGGTCATGGATGGCTCCCCGCCTCGGACTGCGTCTCTTACGGAGGTTGCCGGGAAGATGCCAGCAGTGCCGCCGAGTGCCGGGAGGGCCACGCGCGCGCGGGCAGCAGGCGGGACCACCGCGCAGGCGGAGGCGATCGCACACTCTCGTTCCTCTTCCGCCACCCCCAGGGGGCGGGCCGCGCCCGTGGGTCTGCGCAATCGCCACCCACGGCGCGGCGCCAACACCCCTTGGCAGGTTCACCTGGGTTGCCGACCTCCCCAATGCCGTCGGCCGCCGTGCGCGATAGTCCTGCCAGCCCTTTGCGCTAAGGTGGTCTATCGATGTCTTTCTTGCCTCTCCCAAAAACCTTCTTTCCTCCAGGGGGGTTACCTCTCCCCCCCTTCCTGGGTCTGGACGATGGGGGGGGGCAGAGGGGTTAGAGCGCCCCAGATGGCTCCAACATGGCCCCGGATGCTACAAGATGGCCTCCGAGGCGGCTCAAGATAACCGAAAATGATTCAAGATTGCTTCCGACAGGTATCCAAGATGAAGGGCCACAAGACGGTTCCAAATGCTCTCGGAGCCCCTTCTGGACCCCCACAGAAAGCCAAAATCCTTGAATGACTTGTGCCTTCTCGCCTTTTCGCTTCCGATGCGCTTCGAAACCCTCCAGGATGGCCCTAAGATAGCCCAAGAGAGGCCTAAGAGGGGCCCTAGAGAGCCCCCCAAACGGCGCCAAGAGCGCCTAAGATCGGCCCAAGAGCGCCCCAAGAGGCGACGCTGATGGCCTCAGTGGGGGGGATCAGACAATCAGGACTTCCTCTCCTTTGATCGAGAGCCTTCAAGATGGCCCCGAGAGGCCCTGCAAGGCCCCCAAGAGGGCCCCAAGAGAGCCCCAAGAGGGCCCCAAGACCAACAAAAGAGCCCCAATCGGCCCCCAAGATCTCGCAAAAAAGTCCAAAGAGGGCTCCAAAAAGCGATTTGAGGGCTCTGTCATCGCCCTCGTTGTCCTCCTCCTCCTCCACCTCCTCCTCCTGGTCGTCCTCGTCCTCGTCCTTGCCCTCATCGTTCTCCTTTTCCGTTTGCTCCTCTTCCTCGTCGTCATGGCCGGCGTCGTCATTGTTGTTGTTGTTTTCCTCCTCCGCCTCCTCCTCCTCCTCCTCCTCCTGCTCCTCATCCTTCTCCTCCTCCTCCTCCTCCTCCTCCTCCTCCTCCTCCTCCTCCTCCTCCTCCTCCTCCTTCCCTCGCCCCCACGCGGGCCCCAGGCATGCCCCGAAGAGGCCCTCCAAGGCCCCCCCTTGCCCCTCCCCCCCCCTCCTAGTCATCACCCGCCTCTTGGCCGCTCTCGCGCCCCCCCGCCAAGACCAGCCTTTGTCATCCAGGCGGTCCCCGGGCCCGGGGGGAGGAGGAAGGAGGAGGAGGAGGAGGAAGAAGAAGAGGACGAGGACGAGGACGAGGACGAAGACGAAGTGGAGGAGGGGGAGGAGGGCCTCGGGAGCACGCCCCAGCAGGAGCTGCACGAAACGGGCGGGCGGGCCGCCTAGCACCTTGAAGGCGCCGGCGATCTTCTGCAGGCGCACCTCGTGCTTTGGGTCGCGCCGCGCCTGGCTTCGGGATGGGTGGGGAGCGCGCGTATGCACGCTAGGAATCTACAGTGGAGGCCAATGCACGAGAACACACTTCCCACAAGAAACCCAACCCTGAGACCCCAGGACGTCCATGGATTTTTAGTGGGAACCGCGCGCTCTCCATCGCAAAACCATCGAAACTCAAGAAACCCAGGGCACCCTGGAGGCAAGCAGGGTGTTTCTTGGCACGGGTCTCCACTGTAGGCCCTGTCCCACGGGGCGTCGCAGAAACGCCACAGGACAACGTTTGACGACTACACGCAAGAGTGACCCTGGGCAAGCGTGGCCTTCAGTGCGCAGCCTTAGGGGGCCGCGGGGACGTCAAGTCCCAGCGTGCTGGTCAGTGCTGGGGCGGCCCATGTGGGACCGCACCAACGGCCACTTCGGCGAAAGGTCACTTACGCGTAGCCGAAACGCACAATGTAGGCCGGTTCTGCGAGCGACACGTGTTGTAAAACATCTATATATATATATATATATATATAAAAACACATATTTGTATAAACATATATATATATACATAGTACACATATACAGAATCGAGCTCTAATTGATGGAATGGGCCTCGACCTTTCGGGGGGCGAGGAAAACAGCAAAATGGTAAGGGAAGAATATGCTTACGGTTGGGAGGCGGCGAGAGACTGAGAGGCGCGGACCACCTCAGACCCCTTCCTCGGATCTGCCCGAGTTCCGCGCCCACCTCTGAAGGGGCCCTGGGACGCACAAATTCGCCGGCCCAACGGGCCAAGGGCGTGCTAAGATCTCCGGTAACTGGTTAACAATATTCTAGTTCGCGCGCGCGGGGCCGCCCCTGGGGGTCCCCCGACGAAACTACCCTGGGACACCCCCGGGACATCCCCGGGACACCCCCGAGACACCCCCGGGACACTCGGATCAGAGATGCCAGACCGGGTAATTTTTCGACACCCCTCACGAGGTTCGTGGCCTCCGAGGGGAGGGGCGCAATCGACTACCCCCCCCCTCCTGACCCAAGAGGTCTCAAAGACTGCCCAAGAGGCCCCCGAGACGCCCAAAGAGCGCTCCAAGACGCCGATGATGAACCCAAGACGGCTCAAGAGGCCTCCAAGTGGCCTCCAAGAGGCCCCACAAGAGGGCCCGAGAGGCCAAAATCATCAATTTCACAATAGCTTTGGAAGGACTTTGGCCTTGTCGCTTTTTCGGCCATCCGATGCTCCAAGACGGCCCAAGAGGCTCCCAAGAGCGCCCCAAGACGGGCCAAGAGGCTTCCAAGAGGGCCCCAAGAGGGCCCAAGAGGGCCCCGAGACGGCCCAAGAGGCGCCCAAGACGGCCCAAGACGGTCCCAAGAGGGGCCCAAGAGGGGGACCATGAACCTAAAACTCGAGCCTTCCGCCCCAAGAGGGCCCCAGGAAGCCCGGAGAGGCCCCCAAGAGACCCACAAGAGGCCCAAAGATGCCGCCAAGAGGCCCCCAAGAGGCCCCAGGAGGCACCCAGAAGGCCCAAAAGAGGCCCCAAGAGGCTTCCGAAGTTCAAACATGCCTCCCAGGCGCCCCCGAACGGCTTCTCGAAAGACCCAAAGAGGCCTCCCAAAGAAGCATCTTGACGACGACCCTGTTTGGCCCCAAGAGCCACACAAGATGCCAACGAGAGAGGCTTCCTCCTCCGCCCCTTCCATTTCCTCCTCCTCCTCCTCCTCCTCCTCCTCCTCCTTATCTTCATCCTCCTCCTCTCCTTCTCATCCTCTCCTCCTCCTCCCCTCCCCTTCCCCATCCTCATCTTCCACCTCCTCCTCCTCGGCGGCGCCAAAATGGCCCCGGGCCCATGGCGAAGCAGTAGCGATCATGCAACATGGGCCGGCGGAATGAGCGAAGCGATTGAATAAATACACACAAATACAATGATCCCCATAATTTTCCCATATTTTCTGGGTTTCTGTCTGCCCCCCCGCTTCCCATACTGTCCCATATTTTCAGTGGAATCGGGGGTCAATTGTGTCTGTGAGCTATTTCCCCACCTGAACCTCGGCCCGAGCTCCCCCTCCCGTCCTGGACCTCCTGTCGCTCCCCCGCGGCGCCTCCCCCGCCCCCAGACGGCGAGACCTGTACGTCCAGCCACGGCCAGTCGCCCCATGGGCGGGCCCCACCTGGGCCCATGAGCGGTTGGGGTGCGCCACGAGCGGCGAGCGGACCCGTTGGTCCATTGGGGGGTGCGTCACGAGCGGCGAACGGACCCGTTGGTCCATTGGGGTACCATGTTGGAGGAAAGAGAACTACACCCTGCGAAATGCTTAAGAAATCATGGGTTAAGAAATTCATAGTCTCAGAACTTGCGTAAAACCCAACATTTCCATCGAAATCTTAGGATTTACATGGAAACATTAAGAATAATCGAGACTCTGGCCGAAAACTTGGGTTTTCTTCACCATCGCCTAAGGTGTATGCACATACACCGATTCTGGCCAGGCCCATCCTGAGCCCCGGATCGGTGCATACGCCCTCCGAGGCCAGGAAGGCACATGCACCGATCCTGGGTCAAGGATGGGCCCTGCCAGGATCGGTGCATGTGCATGGTTCTCTTCGCCCGACATGCGGAGACTGCTCTGGGACAGGAGCGCACTGCAAATAGATGTACCCTTTCTCCGACCCCGTGCTGCGCCGAACGCACCGGCTGGGTTATATACAGACGCATCCACTCCGAAGTATCCATCCATGTAGCGACATCCAGTGAGTCTCTAGACGCCTGTGGCTAGAAAGCGAGAACGGTATTTGGCACAGGCCCCAGGCGTTCTAGGGAAGCAAGTCGAAATTGCCCTTCAACGTATCCGTATTAACGCCCTCACGGTCTGGTTTCTAGTGCGCGATCCTGCGGAATCCCGGATACGCAGTCGCATGGATACGGTCCGCATGGGGCATCCGCGAGAAAACGCCCCACATAAGCGGGGTCGCGGCACAAGGGCCTGGCCCGCGAGGCCGCGGGTACGGAAATGACTTCCGACCGCGAGCATATACACCGCTCCTGTGCCCGACATGGGCCCGACCAGGGGCGGTGGATATATATATATATATATATATATATATATATATATATATATATATATATATATATATATATGCATACCCAGACGTCGTATTCCCAAGTGTTTTCCTCTAAGGAGCCCCCAGAAGCCCGAAGTCCCCGCCCCTTCCCCCGGGCCAGCTTCCTACTTTCAGTTGTTTCCCGGCGGTCCCAGGGCACGGCGAGGGCATGTCTGGGTATGTGTAAGTCTCGTCGCCCGATTCCCTGGAACCAGGTTGAGGCTTGGAAGTAGGCACCACCACCATCACAAGGGGTTGCCTCCACCGGGGGAATACGATTCTAGATTATGGTGTTGGTGATCATCTTCAGGACACCTAAAAAGCCCGGATATTACCACCATCGCCGAGATCTACGTCATGTCCTTCCGGTGGAGGCACACCGCCGATGTTGGTGTTGGTGCAAGCCTCTAGGTGTGCGACCAGGGCCTCGTACTTCAGCTCCGCGACGTGGCGGTGCAGCTTGTTCACGTCCACGCCGAGCTGCGCGGAGCCGGGAGGAGCTTCCAGAGGCCTCCCAAGTGGGCTCCGAGCAGATGGGGTCGGACGAGCGCGCCGCATGGCCGATGCGTCGGCGATGCATCGGCGCCGTCCGCGTTGGGAAAATTCGGGCTCCGCATTGAGCCGCATCGCCGACGCGTCGGCAAGTCGGCGCGATCCTCCCACCCGCTCTGCTCTGACCCCACCTGGGAGGCCTAGCCCAGCGGTGGGCTGGATTAAATCAATGGCGAGCAGCAGAAGAGGTGGTAATTTTCAGAACGACCAGCGCCAGAGACACGCAAGGGGTATTTCAAGAACGGTGATGTCATCAGTCGCACACCAACAGCTAATTTTGACGAGAGCTGACTTCGAACAGAAGAGCCAAAGTGGGTGGACTCTGGAGGCGGCCGACGCTACAGGGATCTGACAAAGACCAGCGGGCCTCCTTCTTGACCAGCTGCTCCGTAGCCTTGAACGTCCTGACACCCTCGACAACCTTGGGCTTGCCCGCCTTCTTCCCGGAGAACTGGATCTCGCAATTGGGACCCTGCGCGGGCTGGAAGGTTGCGGTCCAGGATGAATGACTGAAGGAAGCGTTGTTCGGTCTTGGTACTTACTGGCGTGGCGGCCTGTCTGTCAAGGAGCCTTTTCGTCGATTCGCGACGCGTGGCACGACCGATGCGGCAGAGGCAGAGGCCGAGGACAGACGATGCCAGGGGAAGGGCAAGGCTGCGCGGCGCGCAAACATTGATTCGGCGGCCCGCGAAGGCAACACCCCCTCAACCAAATCTGGCCTCCCAGACACGGAAGTGTACCCATCGGCCAGAAGAAGTATCTACAAACATGAAGCAGGAAGGCGCTGGAAATATATCGGTTGTCCGCCCGCCCTTCAAGGAGGACGGGAAAGGTGAAGCCACTCGATCATTGAAGTAGGAAGGCGCGTAAAGTAGATTGGAATCTGGGAATCCAAAAATACATACAGTCGGGGCGCTGAACAAGGAACTTTTTCGTGGGGGAGGGGCTCCGTGTTCCTTACTTGTTTCGCAGCTAGCCTTAGATTGTCCTTAGGTTCTCGATTGGGGAATCGAAGTCGAACTTATGGAAAAAAGGGGCCTCGTTCTCGGCGTGGACAAACCTCCCTTTACTAGTAGACCCCCCCTTAGTGAAAACGGCCTGGGACCGAAACCGACGGACCTGGACCCGCAAAAACGACGGACGCGACGCCCTCTCGCAAACCGAAAACGGCCAATTCCTCAATCGACGTGTCAGGGTAGGAGGTCTGTCCACCCCCGACGTTGGTTATTTAGGGTTCCTTGGGTCAAAGCCCCGACTGTACTTTCAACTACCGATGGGTACGCTTTGCACCCCTGCGTCCGTCCCTGCCCGAGCCCAGAGGCGGACCGCAACAAAGAGCCCCTCCCTTCCCTTCCCACCCTCCTCCGGGGATCGAAGGGAGAGGGGCGCGGGGTCTTCGTTACGATCGACGCCGGATTCTACGTGACTGCTTATGGAACACGGCTGCGCGAGGCCGTGCTGCTTCCTTCTTGAGGAGAAGCCGCGTTCGCTTCGGCATGAGCTGCGCGGCGTGACCAATTGAGACTGTGTTTGGCAGCGCGAGCCTCGAACAGTAAGCTCCTGTACTCTGGACGTGCACCATGTGGAAATATGTCCATGTGGTTCACGCAATGGAATGCAAGATTTGTGGTCTACTCTATGTGGTGTATGCTGTGTGTTGCAAATTATGGGGTGCAACTTGTTTTGAAACATAAATGCGGGGTGCACGTTTACATTTGCAAGACATGGGGTGCAGTGGAATTCGATACGCGTGGAGTCGTCAACTTCAATACTCGGGCCAACTGCCACCCGTCCGCCCTTGACTCATTGGCAAAACCCAATGGGCACAATGACGCGAAGAACCTTCTCGTGCAGATCAATGGCTCAGGCGAGCGGGTCACCAAGGTGACGACATCGGCAACGACGACGATGCTTCTGGTGGTGGAGTTGATGACGAGGGCGACGGCAACGACGATGCCGATGACGGCGGTTGTATGATGACAGTGGCAATGATGGCGCTGGCGATGAGGAGAATGTTGCTGCTGGGGATGGCAAGGAAACGCGCG